CCCCAAAACCCCAAAACCCCGGCTGACTTATATTGAATAGTCTTGAGAAGAAGTCAAATAGAAATTCTTAATATTTAAAATTTAAAATATGTCTACTGCAGGTATCCATTCAAAGGTCCAAGAAGTCAAGGACTTAACTAGAATTGAGAGAATCGGAGCTCACTCCCATATCAGAGGTATCTTATAACTCTTATGCATCACTTATTAATCTTCTTGCTTTAGGTCTCGGTCTTGATGATAGCTTAGAACCAAGAAAGATTTCCCAAGGTATGGTCGGATAAGTAAGTACATCAACATTTTTGCGCTTTTTTGCCCCACCTTTGCATTAGACTATGAGTATTAATCTAAATTAAAATAGTTAAGAGCAAGAAAGTCAGCAGGTATCATTCTCACTATGATTAGAGAGGGAAAGATCGCAGGTAGAGCTATTTTGATCGGAGGTCAGCCAGGTACAGGAAAAACCGCCATAGCGTAAGAATAATCTGGAATATTTGCATCTATTTTAAACATGAATTCGCGAACTTTTGTATCTTAATCACTATTATCATAGTATGGGTATGGCTAAATCGCTAGGAGAAGAGACTCCATTCACTATGCTTGCAGGTTCTGAAATCTTTTCACTTGAGATGTCCAAGACTGAGGCACTCACTCAGGCATTCAGAAAGTCAATCGGTAATCTAACCTAAGCATTAATCCTGATTCATAGGTGTGAGAATTAGAGAAGAGGCAGAAATCATTGAAGGAGAGGTCGTTGAGATTGAAATCGACAAGTCAGTTTCAAGTGGAGCCAAGACAGGAAAGATCACTCTTAAGACTACCGAAATGGAAACAGTATATGATCTAGGTCAAAAGATGATTGAAGCCATTCAAAAGGAGAAGATCGTTGCAGGAGATATTATTACTATTGATAAGGCTTCAGGAAAGATTTCCAAGCTTGGAAGATCATTCTCAAGAAGCAGTGACTATGACAATGTAGGTCCACAAACTAGATTCGTTCAATGCCCAGAAGGAGAACTCTAGAAGAGAAAGGAAGTTGTGCACACTGTGACTCTTCATGAAATCGATGTTATCAATAGCAGAACTCAGGGTTTCCTAGCACTATTTGCTGGAGACATCGGAGAAATCAAGCCCGAAGTTAGAGAACAAATTGACCAAAAAGTCGCTGAGTGGAGAGAAGAAGGCAGAGCTGAGATCGTGCCAGGAGTCCTTTTCATCGATGAGGTCCATATGCTTGATATTGAGTGCTTCTCTTTCCTTAACAGAGCTCTTGAAAGCGATCAGGCTCCCGTCGTTATCATGGCAACCAACAGAGGTATTACTAAGATCAGAGGTACCGAGTACTTAAGTCCTCATGGTCTCCCCATCGATCTCTTGGACAGAGCTTTGATCATCACCACTGACCCATACAACCAAAAGGAAATCTAATAAATTCTAGAGATTAGATGTCAGGAAGAGGATGTTGAGATAACTGAAGATGCAATGTCTCTTCTGACTAAGATTGGCAAGGAGTCATCTCTCAGATACGGTATTCACTTGATTACAGCCTCCAATTTAGTAGCAATAAAGAGAAAGTCTCATGAAGTCGATGTATAAGATATTAGAAAGGTGTACTCGCTATTCGTTGACATCAAGAGAAGTGTGCAGTTCCTAAAAGACTTCGAGAAGGAGTTCATGTTCCACGAGGTGTCGAAAGAAGAACTTGAGGCAATGGACACTAACTGAGGGAATGGTTTAATAAAGATGAGATTATTTTGACGTAATACAAATGTGACAGGTTAATTCATTATTAATTTAACTTTTCTCTTTCCTTTATTTGTTAATTCATTATTAATGGGGTTTTGGGGTTTTGGGGTTTTGGGGTTTTGGGGTTTTGGGGTTTTGG